CTCCCGCCGCCGCCCCCACCGCCTGGGCCTGGAATGGCGCTTGGGCCCGCTGCCGGGTCCTGACCCGCTGCAGGGAGCGGACCAGTTCCCGCTGCCACTGAGCTGGCCGGATCCCTTTTGCACAATGACTGTGCAGCAGATGCGCGCTCTTGGACTCTTTCTGCTCCTTTTCAATCAAATCGTTTATTGGGCGTCCCCTGTATGCCGGGCACCGTGCCAAGCACTGAGATTCGAGGGGCGAACTTTGTGATCTGCTTCTGCAGTCTGTAATTTCAGGGCCAGGTTTCACCGATCTGAGAACTGACTGGGCAGGCATTTTGCGGGACAAATAGGGGGTGGGGACAAAAGCCAGGGGGCTGTTAACTACTGCCTTGAAGTTCAAAGTGCCCGATGGATGTGTGTGGCACATGCTCTGGCCTCCCTCACCCAGCTTTGTGATCTGGACCCAGACCCAGGGTTTCCTAGGTGTCATTTCATATAGGGTTCAAGCCGCGGGCCCTCAGTGTCTTTCGAGAATGCTGGGTATATTTGTTTTCTATTGCTGTGTAACAAATTACCACAAATTTAGTGGCTTAAAACAACACACATTATTATCTCACAGGTTCCAGGTCATGACCCCATGCCCCACCCCACACAGCTTAGCTGAGTCCTTTGCTTAGAGTCTCAAAAAGCTGCAATCAAGGTGTCAGCCAGGCTGCATTCTCCCCTGGAGACTCAACTGGGGAAGAATCCACTTACAAGCCTGTTCAGTTTGATGGCAGAACTTATTTCCTTGGGTCTGTATGACTGAGGGCCTGGGATTTCTGCTGGCTGTAATCTAGAGGCACCCCTCAGCCATCTGCAGTTCCTGGAGGTTACCAAAGTTCCTTGTCATGTGGGCTTCTCCAACACGGCCACTTACTTCATCAAGGCCACAAGGAGAGTCTCTAGCTCAAGTCTGCTAAGACAGTTTTATATTAGGTAACTTATTATACAGTTGGCCCTTGTATACCATGGGTTTGAACTGTGTGGGTCCACTTATACATGTTTTTCCTCCCAATAAATGCCTGTACTGTTTTCTATCCACATTTAGGAGTCTGTGGATATGAAGAGATGACTATAAATGTTGATCTACACCCATATATTTTCTATAGGGGATTTGAGCACCCACAGATTTGGGTATCTGCTGGGGTCCTGGAACCAATCCCCCATGGATATCGAGGGACAACTAAGTTTTTGGGGAGTCAAAAGTTAAACATGTATTTTCAACTGCACAGGGGTCAGCACCCCTTAACCCCCACGTTGTTTGAGGGTCAACTGTATATGTAACAGATGTGACATCCTATCACCTTTCCCATATTCTATAGGTTAGAAGAAAGTCACAAGTACCATTTGAACTCAAGAGGAGAGGATTACACAAAGGTGTGAATACTAGGAGGCAGAAATCACTGGTGGTCACCTTAGGGTCTGTCCACCAGACCGGAGATACTAGGAAACTTAAGAAAAAGTACAGGAAAAGAGAGAGCTGGAGGCTAGGCTAGGAGAGAGTAAGAAAGGAAGTCAAAATGCGCAATGGGGAGGGGTAGAAAGGCAACAACAGTGATGTCAAGGATTAATTGGTACACATGCTAAAGGTCACCCAGCCACGCCCCTGGGTGCCAAAGATTCTGGATTTAATGAGGCCCTCACTTGGAGTGAACCAAATTGTGGGCTTCCTTCCCTCTCACTCTTTGGCTATGGAACAAAGTCACAAAACTGGACATATTGGTTTCAGTACACA